GCGGAGCTTGCAGTGAGCAGAGATCCAGCCACTGCACTCCAGCCTGGGCGGCAGAGCGAGACTCCGTCTCAAAAAAAAAAAAACAAAAAAGAAGAGAGAAAACAGCCCTGTCCTGAGCTGTTCAGAAGTTGTGCCATTACCTGCAACATGTATCTAAGATAATAATCTAAGATAATACTCAAGAAGTTGAGTATTATCTGCAACATGTATCTAAGAACTCCCTCAGAAGCCTTGGAAACTCCACTCCAATTTACAGCCTAAATCTGAATCTGTATGGTAGGGTAAAAAGAGTTGTTTCATCAGCCCACAACAGAATCTTGGAGAGGGAGCTGCATCTTGCGAAGAAGCCTGCAGGCAATCTACAGAAACTTCACATGGGTGAGGAAAATCAAGGGATGTGGTCATTTCCTCCAAGTGGGTTGACCTCAGGAGAGGAAACAGCCCTGGGGGAAGCAGGTGACCCGAGGGATCTGCCGGGCAGGGGCTCAGGCCAAGAAGCACTCATGAGAAGGAAGGCCCAGGAATTGTCCCCACAGATTTCTTGGGGGAAAACACTGGGCTTCCTGAGGTCATGGGAAAGAGGCAGCACCAGTTTCTCTGTATTCTGAGGCCGGAGTGACCTCAGCTGCACCTGGACACCATCTGTTATAGAAAAGATCCCGTGTCCAAACCAGAAAGCAACAGCCCCAGCAGGGCTGTCGAACACTCAGAGTTTTGAAAAGAGCTTTTGAGAGATTTTTTTCACATTAACAAATTCACAAACAGTCACACGGCCTCAGCTGCGGCTCAGACACGCACGTTCACCCACATATAAAAGCTAACATTTACCACATTTTTCCTATGTCAGTTACCATCCTCTCGCTTCACACGTACTAATTCATGTAATCCTCCTAGAGGACCCCGGGGGGAGGTACCGCTGTCAACCACAGGACAGTTAGAGGGGGCTGCTTCATCACTCTCCTGGGGATCCCACCTCACTTGGGGGAAAAGCTGAAGTCCCTGCCCTGCCCATCACCTCCTCCCATTCTCCCCCTCACTCACGCAGCTCCAGGCACATGGCAATGTTTCCGGAACACACCAGGTAGACTCCTGCTTCCTGATCTTTGCACCGGCCATTGCTTTTCCAGCAACACCCTTCCCCCTGAAAGCTGCACAGCTCACTCCTCAGCTTCTTTCCCTTACTCAAAAGCCACCTTCTCAGGAAGGCCTCTTCCGACCACCTAATCTCAAATTGCAACCCCTCCCCACCTGCACACATGGCACTGACTACCATCTGACAGGGTCTCTATTTTACTGATTCCTTTTCTTGTCCACCTGCCCCATGAAGCCAGGCACTGTGTCTGTCTGGCTCATCGCCATGTCCTCAGTGCCTGATACACAGTAGGTATGCAGTAAATATTTGTTGATTGAAGGAGGGGAAACAGGCAGACAAATGAGGTCTGCTACTTGCCCAAGGGCCACAGCCAGCAGGTGGCAGAAGCGGGATTCCAAGCCAGGCCAAGGGACCCACTCTGGAGGCTTTCCTGGTTACTGCCTCTACTTCCCCATGCGCAAGCTCCTTTGCACATCAGAAACGCACAACCCACTTGCACACGGGAGCACAGGCACACCCTCACGGCCCACCTGCACGCTCACGTCTGCCCCAGTCCCCAGGATCCCTGCCAACCAGCCCCAGTCCTCACCACACCCAAACCCCGGGCCCCACATACAGGAACTTGCCGTCGGTCTGGGTCCCAGAGTAAAGTTTGCGCTCGGCCTCCTCACGCGTCAGGCTGCTGTGGTACCAGGGCATCCGCTCGTGGGCCGTCGTAGCAATAAGTTTCTCCACCTGCGGTGCCTGGCTGATGATGGCCTGCTCCAGGGCCTCGCCCTATAAAAGCAGAGTCGAGGAGGTCTGTAGGTGCGGCCAAGTGCTCGCCACAGGAACCCCCTTCCGGGAGCCCCGTCCCAGAGGACTCCCCACCCCACCTCACCCAGGCGTCCCTAGCGCGTGCTATGCAGGTTGTCGAGGACCACTTCCTTGCCACCTCCATGGTCCCCTCCCCAGTCCAGCTAGGGAGGAACCACCCCCACCGTCCAGCACGGCCCCAGGCGTATCTCCAGCTTGAAGATCTAATTCAGGTGGTTGTGCACGGTGGCGTCACTCAGGCTGTGCAAGACTACAGCCCATCTTCCCGGACAGCCGCCCTACCCTAAGGGCTCACCCTGGCCCCGCGCACCCTCCTCTCAGCCCCGCCCCCAGTCCAAGCCTCGCCTTCGCCCGGCCCAGTGCATCCCTCCACCTTCCCATCTGGCACAGTAGCGCACCACAGCATCGCTCAGCCTGCGGAAGGCGACCGCCACCACCGAGCCCCTACCTCTGAGGCCTCCTTTCAGGTTCTTCCCCAACCAGTGCCCCACCTCTCCAGCTTCCAAAGGGGACTGAATGGGGAAGACGACCTTTTCCTCCCTCCTATCCCCCAAAACCCCGGACTGCCCCGCTCGGGCCACGCCTCTCCAGACCCCGCGCCCCAGGCCGCGCTCTCACCTCCAGCTTCCAGGTCTGGCGCACGTAGTCGCGCACCATGGCGTCGCGCAGGCAGTCGAAGACGCCCG